CCCAGCAGCACCGCCGACACCCTGCTCATGCCCCCACGGGCTGGCACGGGCTGGCACCTCGCCCAGCTCATGGCTCAGCCACCGCCATGAACCCCGAGCAAGCCCTGGGGTCCCCAAAATGACAAAGGCCAGCGGGACCCAGCCCTGCACAGCCGGTGCTCATCCCCATCATCATCCCCATCATCTCCTCACATCCCTCCCCCCGTCCCCATGGAAGCGCCACATCCCACGTTTCTCACTTTGAATTTCCCCCGCAGCAAACTCGTAGGGACAGCAGGAGAGAGGTCTTTCCCGCAGCCAGCCCAGGAAATATTTGTAAAAGTATTTTAGGTAAATTCCCCAAAGCAACTCACACCAAGGGGACGGAGTGTCCACAGCAGGGCTGCTGCGTGGCCACACCGGCTCCAGCTCCCACCAGCTGGGAGTGATGCCAGGCGTAGGATACACGAGGAAAATACCCTGGAGTGGGCTGGAGGAAATGAATTCATCTCCCGTGGGGTGTCTTTTCCTCCCTGGTCAGGTGGTGTCAGAAAATATGTGTGAAAACTTAACAGTCACCAAGGCCACAAAGGCAGATCGTAGCTGCTGATAAGCTGGGAAAACACCACGGGGACCCAGGGCCAGACTGTGGGGGGACTCAGGGAGGTGCCACAGAATCCCCTACGCCCTGGAGATGCTGATCCCATCACTGCCTCTCTGCATCCTGACAGCACTGCTTAGCTTTGGGTCTTGTACCTGGAGAAAATCCAGATAGCCCAGCAAGTCCTTAAGTGTGGATTTTTTAATTACTTTTGCCCCCAGCTCCTGGATGCAGAGGATTTTTTGAGCATCTTACTTGTTTTTTTTAGGTTTCCTTGTTTTTTTTTTCCCACCTGCTTTGTGCCTTCCAGGTCCCTGGGAAATCATGAGGCGTGTGCAACCTGCAGAAATCAGGGTGCAGATCGGGAGTCAGATGGGAGTTTGGGTTTATTTTCAAGTCTGGGTTTTCAAAGGCCAGGGTTGGGGAGCAGAGGGAAGAGATCACTCAACTGGAGCAGCCCAGCTCTGATGTCAATCTCAAGCAGAGGAGTTTGGTGTGAAGGCAGGTTTTGAGCCAGGGCTGGTCCCTGTGCGGGGGCTGTCAGGATGCCGGGGGCCAAAGGACACGGGAAATGAGTCAGTCAAAACACAGCAGATACATCGAGGAAGGGAGACAGTTCAGCCTGGGACAGCTGAGAGAGGATGAAATGCTGAGGGAAAAGTCTCCTGAATGGATCAACATGGGTACCACAAAGCCCCTTCCCTCGGGTGATGGGGAGAGGGATTGTCATCCCGGATGGGAGCTTTTCACCTTCGGGATCAGCTCTGCCATGGGTGTTCTGAGTACCCCCACACACACTGCTTTGGGTTGAAAACCCTTCCCTTTGGGGCTGCTTTCCCTGTTACTGGGCCAGTGGGATGTAGGGCACTGACCGCTGGGCAGTGGAGGGGCTGCCCTGGCACAGCCGCCAGCCAGGATTCCAAATTCAAGAGAGGACCCCAAAACCCCAGAGATCTACATCAAAGCCACACAATGCCATTTGTTTTGCTGGGTTCTCAATTCCCACAGATGGGGAACATCACTGCTAGACCTTCCTTGTGCCCAGGATAGGTGGGTTGAGGGTAAGACAACCTGATCTGGGCCCGGCAATGAGGCTGCAGCTTCTTCCAGCAACATCTGTGGCGTGTCCAACATTGCTCCCATGGCTGAAACTGGGGGATAGCCATGCCCTTCCTGGTGAAATCTCCCCTGGAGAAGGATGGCAGCACCAATTCCATCTTATTTCTGTATGTTTGCATGTTCCAACAGCAGGAGATGGGCTCATCCCCACAGCCTCAGGGTACCAGGTACCCCCTCCCGCCTCAGGGGCTGCACAACCTGCTCCCACCTGAGTGAGCGGCTTTGGGGATGGATGCAGGTGCCCACTGGGTTTTCCAGCCTTGGAATAAAACAAAAAAAATACCTCCACTGCTTTTTGGGGAACTGATGGCATCTGGGCAGGAGCCAGCTGGGCTCTGCAGGGATGTGGGTGGCAGGGGAGGATTATGAGCCACCTCTTCCAGGGACAGGAGTGGGTGACCCATCCCAATATAACCCATCTCTTCAAGCAGTTGGGGAAGTCCTGGGGAACAAGGACATTAAAAAAGGAAACAGCACACAGAGGGGTGTGAATTCAGTGGTTGTCTCAGCGTCAGCCCCGGCAAGATAATGGAAAAGCTGATCCGACCAAGACTTAAAAGGGAGAAGAATAAATCAAACAAATCCTTTATGGAAGCAGACCTGACCTGGCAAAAGCTGCTTTGATCACGGTCGTGACTTTGGCTGCCCCAGATGCAGCAGCTGCCCCGTCCCGCGGGCGCTGCACTCAGATCTTCCTCCCGCGGGGTTATTGATCGGCTGAAACGGGAAGTGCCGCAGCATCAATAAAGCGTCTGCACACGCGGCTGGGAAAGCCGCTCTCACCCAGGGGCGAGCGGTGTTTCCAGGGGGGCTGTGCTGCCGAGCGGGGGTCCCGGCGTGCCCAGCAGCTCTCTCTGGCAGCCCCAACTCCGCACAGCTCGGCGAGGCTCGTTCCGAGCACGGAGGGTGATTAAAGCACCGACACTGCTGGTAGAGGCAGAGGTTTCCCCAGGAGCTGCTCTGCTTTCTGTTCAGCGATGAGAAGTCGTGGGGAGCAAAGCCTGCACGGGGCAGCCGTGGGGCTGCAGCACCTGCCAGGACATCCACATCCCACCCAGAAGTGGGAGATTTGGAGCACCAGCAAATTTTTTGGAAGGGGCAATGAAAGCTCAGCCCCCAGCGGGGTCCTAAGTGCCTCTGCCAGCCCCCAGATTTGCCACCTCCCCCCGTGCAGGAGTGGGATCTGTCCCATCTGTTTTGCAGAGGCCAACACCTCTGCAGCAAAGTCTGGAGCCAGAGCTGGGAGTGCTGGCAAGGAGCCCCCCATGAAACAAGGGGAAAAAGGGAGGAAAAGGGTGCTTTTCAGCCCAGATCACATGCAGGACCAGTCCAGAGCAGAGACTAGTTCCACTCATCACAGCAGTGGGTCTGCCCGTGTCCCGTGCCCTTCTCTGTCAAACACAAGAGGGTTGATGAGCTGGAGGGGAGCAAATGCCAGTTCTTCCTAAATCCATCAAGAGCCACAGGAACACCTGGTTTTGCCTCTGGAGCCTCCATGGGCATCCCCAGCTCTGGTGCCAGGTCTGTGCAGTCCAGTAGAGCCCCGTCCTGGCAGATGTGGGGATGGGAAGGGGATATTCCTCCGGAGTTACAGGCAATTCCAGGGGACCTGGAGTTGCTCAGGGGCTGCCAGATCCAGGGGCCCAGCTGGGGCTGGAAATCTCCCATGTTCCAAGATCTCCCATGCTCCAAAATCCCCTGTCCACAGGGTCCACTCATCCCACAGGGCCAACACCAGGGCCTGAGGGCAGGGCAGAAGGATGTCATTCCTGGGCTTCTTTGGCCTGCTGCATCCCAGTATTTTGCCTAGGAGTCTTTAAAAGGTTTTTTTCCCAGACTAATAAATGCTGTTTGGTTTTCCTTATGTTTCATTTTCTTCTTGCAGGGAATATTTCCTGCCCTTAGATGAGCTCCTGTGTGCGTGGGGGTAAGAACAGGGATGACGGAAAGGATGGATCCGGTCAGGGAAAGGCGAGCCAGGCAGCTGTGCCGGACCAGAACCAGTTCTCATCTGCTTTCCTCTGCTCCCTGAGGAGAGATTAGCTGGGAGTTTGGGTGATGGTGGAAGGTACTCTGCTCTGCCAGGCAAACACAAACCCCCTTGTCTGCACCCAACAGCCCTGAGGCATCACCCCGCCCCACTTCCTCACTATTATCCCACACATCCACCCCAAGCAAATTGAGGCTGATTTCTGGGAAATGGCTTTGCAGAAGAGCAAATGGAAGGTTATGTGTGGTCCTGCCATGGATGTGGTCCTCATTCCCATCCAGGCAGGAGCCTGCCTGGATCAGCACCCCATGTCTTCTCCACATCAGGGCTGCAGTACAGCCCAGAGGGTCCGGAATGCCACAGGGTGCCATCGGCATTCCCAGCCCCATGTGGTGGGATGTGGCTGCCTGGACAGCTGGGCTTGTGGGAATGTGTGTCTGCACCTCCCCACTGCTTCCCCCCATCCGCCAGCTGCTGGCAGCTGGGATGCACCCTGGGACTTGCAGAGGCTGGGGGAAGAAGGGGCTTTTTTGACAGCTGCAGCCAGGCAAAATCCACGAGGGAAGCCCCAAAGTGGCCTCTGCCTTTCCCAGCTCAGCACGGCCAAGAACATGAGCTGCTGCTTTGGCACCAAGTGGAGGGAAGTGGAGCCACCTGCCCGTCTTCCCCCCATCCTCGTGGGCCCCAAACACCCCCAAAAACAGCACAGAGACGTTTCTGTGCCTGATGCAACCCAACAGAAGTTGCTTCTCTGTGGGTTTATTTTCTCAGTGGTCTTTTTCTTTCTTTTTGGAGGAGGCATATTTGAGTGTTGGTCCCCTGGACCAGGATGCAAAGCAATAGGATACAAAATTCCACAGTGCAGGGGGAGGACATGGACCATTGGGAGTGTGTGGGGCTGCCAGGGACCCTTCTGGATGCTGTGCCTGTCCCTGGTCCCATCCAAGGGAGATCCCCAGACTCTCTCACCCACCCTGTGGTCTCACCATGGGGCACAGAGCCTGCCCAGGGAATAAGGGCACAGAGCCAAACTTTGGGAACAGCCTGTCCATCAGCCCTAACGCTGGAGGCAGGAGCTCAGGAAAAATCCCAAGCCCATTGGATGCCAAAAGCGTGGCCTGGGAGCAGATTTTTCTTTTCCCAGGGTTGAGCTGGGAGGGGATCAGTATCACTTACCCTCTGTGCTTTGGGACGTGGCGAGGGACCAGGTCCTCCCCCTGCTCACGCAGCTGCTGGCCCTGGGGGAAGGCAGGCCCCTGCTCCCCCATAAAAGCAGCCGGGCAGCCCCGAGCCCGGCACACGGAGCAGCCCCAGCCCCGGCACACGGAGCAGCCCTGCCACAATCCACCATGGTGAAGGCAACCGGCATCGTCTGCACCCTCCTCCTCCTCACCACGCTGTGCTGGCAGAGCCTGGCTCAGAGTGAGCACCGTCATCCCCACGGGCTGGGGGACAGGGACAGGCCCTGGGACTGTGGGGACGGGTTTGCCTCGTGCATGGGGAGCAAGTGGGCTCTTCCCAAAGAGCTGTCGTTCCCACAGCTGGCAGGCTGAGGTGGGAGGTGGGGGTCTCCAGGCTAAGTCGAGCTTGTGCTGTCCCCCCAGGAGCTCCAGCCATGCCGGACAAGTGCTGCTTCAACTTCCAGACGAGAAGGATCAAGAGAGACAACGTCGTTGCCTGTTACCCCACCAGCCCCGAGTGCCCACACCAGGCTGTGATGTGAGTACCCTAAATCCACCCTGGGGGTAAAGCCCCTCTAGATCCTGCCAGACCCTTACCTTGCTTTGGTGGGTCCAATCCTGACCTCCTGTGCCTCCTCCAGGGAACTCATCGCTGGGGTCCCTGTATGACCACCCCACTAACCTCATCTTCTCTCTGCCCCAGTTTCAGAGTGAGGAACGGGAAGGAGATCTGCACTCAGGCAAGCAGGGCGTGGGTGAAGAGGTACCAGCAGAGCTTCCAAGTCAGCTCCTTCTCCATCCCCAGCTAGTGGGGTGGCCAGAGGCAGCAGGGACTCCTCTCCACAGGGAACACTGCCAAGGCAACCCCTCTGCAGAGGTGGCTGTGGGGACACATTGGGACAGAGCAGCTATCAGGGACGTCCTCCCCACCACGCTGGGATGACCGTGCCTATCTCTCTGAAGGCAAAGGGCCTTTGCCAACCCCGGCATCCCACCAGGATGGAGTGTGCTGACCCTGTGGGATGCTCAGGTCTGGATCCTCTGCCAGTCCCCATGAATTCCATGGCAGAGAGGCTGCTCCTGCCAGCCTGGCAGCAGCCGAGGGGTTCAGGGGGAGCAGCTCCACAGTTATTTTTTGTACGACACGCTGAGCAGAATTAAACGTGATCTCACACATGCAAACATCTGTCTGTGTGAATGTCTTGGGAGTGGGCAGATCCTGCTGCCGGCTTTCCCAGCCAGGTGCTGGGATCAGTATGGAGCCAGGGAGAGCTGAAGCCACAGCCACGTCTCTGTGAGGATGTCCGGGGTGAGCATGGGGCCAAACCACATCCATGCTTTGGGGAAGCACCAGGGAGAGCAGCAACAGGTGGGCACAGCCCATGAGGAGGGGGCTTCCTGTGTTTCCTGAGGGGAAAGCCCTGGCCCAAATTCTGTCAGAGGAGCCCCTCAAGGATGCCTGGTCAGGGCCCCACTGACAACCCAAAATCCCAGTATGCCACACAATAGACACTGAGACAGGGACAGGCACCTTGACGAGCAGCCAGCAGTGGGTCTCGGGGTGGGCTGGGGCAAATCAGCCACCACCGAGCCACTCACCCAGTGCAAAATTGCAAGAGAGGCATCAGAACTGATGGCAATGGCTGGTTTTTTGAAAAGAAGCTCTCACAGGACTCTGTCAAGTTGAGCATCATCCTGTGTGGTTTGCTGGTGGTGATAACCAGACTCAAAATAGACACCCAGCCCCTGTGCATCACCAGCAGCCCGCCACACTTTCCAGCAGCCCTCGGGTATCTCAGTGGCCAAACGGGCTGGGAGAAGGAATTTCCCTTCACCACTTGCCCTTTACCAGGTGGTTCTTTCCGTGGGGAGAGTCCAGAGCTGTCATGGAACGCCTGGCAGGGGTTATATATTGTGCCAGGGTGCAGGCAGGAGGGGCAGGTAGCTCTCCGTGGCCTGAGACAGGGAGAGCTGCCTTCTGCTGGTGCTGACTGAGCCCTCTGTTGGACATGAAGATCTGCTCCTTGGCCCTGCTCACCCTGCTGCTGGCAGCTCCCTGGACTGGAAGCCAGGGCATGTCCCGTAAGTACCGACACCGAGCCTCTCCCCACGGCTGCCCCAGACCCTCCACTCATGGGATTTGGGAGGGGGATGACAGTTCAGCTCCTGCTTCTGCCACGGGACTGGGAGGCTGAGGGACATCACCAGCTGCCCCAGCACAGGCCTGTCGTGGACTTGTTCAAAATGAGCAAAACCAGGCTTGGGGATGGCTTCAGCCCCGGAGCCCCAGCTGGGGAGCTCTGCCCAGCAAACCCCCACAGGCAGAGGAATGGGGGGCTCCTTCCCTGGGGACAAACATCACCACTGAGGATGCAAGAAGAGACCCCTTGTAGCATGAGGGAGCAGGAGAGTCCCCAGGGGAGCACCCACACCCCTCAGCAGAGCACCCACACCCCTCACACCAGGCATGGGACAGCACTAAAACCTCTTGTCTCCTCTCAGTCCGCACATCCCATGCCATGTGCTGCCACAAGGGCATGTTCATCAGGCGGGAAATCCCTGCATCCAAAATCAAGAGCTACCAGAACACACCTTCCCTCTGCTCCCGCAAGGCTGTGATGTGAGTAACCCAGCTCCCACCCAGCCTTCCTCCCTGGCATCCCACTCCTCATCCTTGCTCACCCACCTTTCCTACCAGTTGTTCTGCCTTTGGCAAAACAAGCCACCCTGCCAAGGGTTCTGTGGGTGGGGGTGCCCTAACCTGGCTCTTCACATTCCCCTCCCTCCTCGCTGCTTAATCCCAAATAGCCCCAAAATCCCCCTATTTCAGCTGCCAGCCAGAAAAACGGGAAGGAAGCCAAAATTGCAGAGATTGCCAAAAGTCAGCACTTCCAGGGAAAGTGGGGGGCAGGATCTGCAGGCACCTCCAGGCTGGCAGGGATCCATCCCCCAGTCCCGAGCTAATGCAGGATACTCTTTCCCCCAAAGTCTGAAGCTGCAGAAGGGGACGGTCTGTGTGGATCCAGAGGTGAGCTGGTTCCAGAAGTACCTGAAGGAAAAGAAGCTAATCAACACCTCCATGTGAAGCTGCCTTCCCCACAAGCTCTATTTATTTGTTTCCCATAATTATCTGTATGTTCTTAATTAATTCCATTAATTTATGGAGCTGGCTCCATCCCCTCCCCTGCCATCGGCCCCTCCACTGTCCAGTACATCCCTCAAGGGAATCAATAAACCATCTCGTGCTGACCTGGAGTGAGAGATGTGAATCCTGTGGGAGAAAATGGGTCATAACAGGGCTCAGCATTCCCACAGAGAACCAGGAATAGTCCAGGAGCCCCTGGGAGGGCAGGGAAACCCAAAGGGCCAAGGCTGATGCCCCCAGCTCACCTCCAAGATGAAGCAGCCCCTGGCCAGACGTGGCCTTTAAGGATGCCCTGGGCAGCTGCCTGCCTGGTGGGATGGGGATTGAGGCAGGGAAAAGGCAGCTGTGGTTGGCAATGGGAGAAGGGTTGGCTTTGGGGGGTTCAGGGGCTGGTTTGGTTTTGTCACAGCTGGATCAAGTGGTTAAACAGGGGTGGCTGCAGGAGGGGAGAGTGGGGCCAGGAGATTTAGCACTGTCCTCCAGACCTGGGCAGGCCCCTGGAGAGAGCCAAGCATGGGAGTGATCCTCCAGGTCCCTGGAAATCCCCTTGTCTCATAGCAAAATCCCTCCTGCAGCCCCCAGAACCCGTCCACCCACAGTGGCAACGGGGGTGGCAAACAACGGAAATCAAACCATATCAGGCCTGTCACTCGTGTCAATAAATTCCTTAAAAGAGAAGAAGAAATGGAACATGCAGATGCTTGTGGGCAGGTTTCCAGTAGGTGCAGGGAGACTGGAGCATCCTTCATCCTCCTGGTTCCCATCAGGACACCAGCCATGGAGCTCTGGAGCTAACTCTGTGTCCCTGCTGTGACCAGTGGAGCAGGGTGAGAAGGGTATTTGTGGCACACCTGGGGAGAAGTTGGGAAGTCTTTTAAATCCCTGCAGGGATGGTGACTCCACCACTGCCCTGGGCAGCCTATGACAGTGCTGACAACCCTTCCAGGGAAGAGTTTTCCCCTAATATCCAATCTAAACCTCCACTGGTGCAACTTGAGGCTGTTTCCTCTTGGCCTGTCACTTGTTACCTGGGAGAAGAGTCCGAAACCCACTTGGCTACAACCTCCTGTCAGGGATTTGGAGAGAGAAAGTCCCCCTGAGCCTCCTTTTCTTCAGGTTGAGACCCCCCAGATCCCTCAGCCACTCCCCAGCTCCACTGCCCAAGGTCTGATCCCTGGGGAGCACCACTGGTGACCATCTGTGGCTGGATGTCACTTCATTCCCACCACTCTCTGGGCCCAGCCATCAGCCAGTTTGTCACCCATTGAACAGGGCACCCATCCAAGCCATGAGCAGCCAGTTTCTCCAGAAGAATGCTGTATTATCTACTTCCCTATTAGTTTGTGACTCACTTGAATCATCTTTTTGATGAGCTGGGACATGCTTTACTTTTAAAGATACCTTTATACATATTGCCAGATTGGTTGCCACATATCTGCCCCCCTTTAGGGTGTTTCTGTACGAGCCAACGACCTTGGGCCCAGTCATCTGCCACAATCCCCATGGGACCATATCATCTGGAACTGTTCCTTTTAATTGAAAAGAACATTCTTGCCTGTGACTGGATAATTGCACATGCTCAGCCAAAGCATTTTTGCAGGCATTCTTTAGAAAATGAGACTTGACATTTCCAGCTTTTCTAGAGCTGCTCTTTGGTGCTGCTGCTCCCCTTGGGGTTTTCTGGAATGCCAGCCCCCACGGGAGCGCTGCAGCCTCCTGCAGGGGGAGAGGTTGTTCCTGCTCTTACCACTCTCTTTCCTGCACCAGTCTGGTGCAGAAGCCACTTAAGCTGGAGGGAGAAGAGCTGTCTTTGATTTAGGACCACAGAAAACTCCCTGCCCTGGGTTGTGGTTGTGGTTCTTTGTGCAGGGATCCTTGGAGGGGGAAGGGGCATTTGGGAATTGGAATTTAAAATATATCAGCGGGGACTGGTGTAGGAATTCTGCTTTGAATGCTGAGTTACTCTCATAAAACAATGCACTCCAGGGCCAGTGACAGCTCTCTGCAAGGTGAGGCTGGCAGCTGACCTGGGTTCTCCTCATAACCCCAAGCCACGGGACCCCTTTGCATAATTTTTATCAATGAGTGTCACTTCCCAGAGGGATGTTGCATAATGCCACATGACTTTCTCTTCAAAGAAACAACAGTGGTGGTGTTAGCAGTTTCTTTCATTTCTTTCTGCCTGTGGTTTCCTCCTGCCTCAGGCTGGTGCACGGGGCAGGCAGAGGCTGCTGTCACCCCATTAGTGCTGCCGAGTGCAGGGCCCTGGGTGTCTGGAAGTCTCTCTTGAAAGAGGTGCTGAGAACATCCCTCTGCCCCGACTCGGGGTCAGAAATGCAGCCTGCTGCCAGCAGCAGGGCTTTGTCCTCGGGGAAAACTCTCTGCAGAGCTGGAGAGGCTTCCCTAAGGTTGGCTGCAGGCTGAGGCAGAGCCTGGGCTTCCCTCAGCAGGCCTGGGGACCGGAGGCAATGCTGTGCTCTTACACTCTGGGATGGAGATCATCCCTTGCCTTCTAGTCTGGATGAACCCTGTGGTTCATCAACAACAGCCCCAGAGGGGGATGTGGTTTTGAGACTTGAATTCCCTCATTTTCTTTGGGACACTCAAGCATCAGGTCATGCAGGACTAGTGCCATGTTTGCTCATCTCTGGCTTTCTGGTACCTCTCCCACTCCATGTGAGTTTTTCCTGCTAATGAGATGGCCACAGCCAGGCTCAGGAGGAAGTTAGGGATATCTTTGGGGCCTTTTTGTTTGATCACACCTGCCTTACCTACCTCTTCCTTACTTATTTGTTCTCTTTTCCCTTTTCTCACCTGGGTGCACTAAATTTTTACTGTGCTGAGTACTTGACCATAACCTCTTGCCTTGTTTATGCAAAGACAAGCCAAAAAGAAGTGGCATCTTTGGTATTTACTCCTCTTCCTAACTAATAGGCTTTTCCTTTCCTTTATTTTTTCAAATTTGTATTTGCAAAGCTGAAGTTTCTGGTTTCCTGTGTTTCCTGCCCTGCTTCCAAGGGTCTTCCGTGACAGGAGA